TTTTCTGTTGCTTAGATAACTGTGAAATCAGTCAAACGCTTACCTCTGATTCCATATGTATCGAATTTATCCAAAAGAATTTCATGGTCAACTAAGTCAAAAGCTTTGCTCAAATCAAGAAATATTCCTACACATTTTTCGCCATTGTCCATTTTAAAATGCAGTTTTCTGAATCAAAACTGACTGCTGTTGAATAATTTGGAACTGCCAAAAAATTGACAATTTGCAAGGACACATATTTCTCAAATACTTCGCAAAGGGACTAATTAGTGAAATCGGCCTAAAATTACAGATGTTGTGGTTATCACCTGATTTGAACAGGGGCTCGAACTTTAAGCTTATAAGCAGGAAAAAGTGTACGACCGCGAATATGGTTGATATGTATATAATTAAAAACAATGTATCTGTTTTAAATATAATCTATATTCTTAGAATCATATCTTAATTGACGATTTACAATTTTTATCAGGGTCCGATTTTGCCACCTATTTTCAAGATCAGAGGTATATAAAGTTTTTCGAAATTGATTTACAATTGTATTTTGTGGTCATGTCAAGTAAATGGCACTCAACATTAGAAATTAGACATTATTGTTATTATAATCCTGTATAATTGTAATTGGCAAAAATATATATTTTTTGACATGGTATCACGAAGAACCGATTCAGTTGATCTGTCTGACTGTCTCTCCGCTTATCTTTGGACTATAACTTGGAAAGTACTGCTCGGATTTGGATGAAATTTTCACGCAATGTTACAACAATGCCAAGGAGATTTTCTCATTTTGTTGGTGGCAGTATATTCATAGTCCCAGCCCCAGTAATCTTACGCACTTATCAGTTTATTTCCCTGCACATTTGCCCTTATAAATACTTATAGATCAGACTCTGTCTGTCGGGACGATGCGATGCAACGGCGACTTTCACACGCCTTAAGTCTGACAGCATCGTGGCTAGCGCTTATGACGTGTCTGACTGGTGTGGTCCAACTATGTCCAACTATGAAGTATATACTAATTGCGTATGAGCCTGTTTGCTGACTTCGTTATTTAATTATTTTGTTATACAGCGTTGCGTTGGAAGTGCAGAGTCAACCTACTTGGCGACAGACATTTTTTTCGAATAATCACCAAGGTAGGGGTCCGTTTTCCCTCTACAGTTGTGGTTGGTTGCATATGCCAATATTCAAAATGCTTGTGCAACGTACTGAATCTATTTGCTCCAAAGCCAAACCATACAATTACAGCTCATAACATATTGGATGCTATTCGCTACCAGTGGATACGTACCCCAAGAATCTGGATATTTGCCAGCAAGGAAGCATAATCAGCTGAATAGTTGGATAGCCGGACCCTCATTAAGAGGAGAGGTAGACTGAATCAGAGTATAAAAAGGAGTATTCATGTAGAGTTTAATCTTGGAGATTATGAGCTTATCAAAAAGGGCCAGGCCTCGCCTCCAACCACTATCATTTCAAAATACGCTTGCTTACACTGGGGGTAGTACTTGACTAGCAGGCGAATTGATATTTATTGGGTCACAATCAAGTGGCCCTATGGCAGAATGGAACATTTTTATCGTCAACATGTGTGCTTACATCTAGTGAACATATCGAATCTACTGCCAAATACCTACTGCCTCTATTTATATTGTGATTGAAATTAATTATCATACACTGATGAGCAAATAGCAAGCACATAGAGGAACATAATGAGCTGCTAATATACATAAACATAAAATATATTCTAAAACTTAATAATTTCTACGTAAACTGCAGCTTTCTGCACTGTTCAAAAACTGCATACCTCTATTAATCAACCCAGTATGTATGTATGTAAAGGTATACATTCACTTGTAAAGCATGGAAAACTAAATATTTTACACTGAATAAATAACCTAACTCTAGTGATTTGTTAAATTGTTATTTCAATTTTAGTAGGTGATGTTTACATTAGTTTAATGACGTACACAACACTAATGTTTGACTCGTTCCGAATCCTATAATTACGAAGCAATACTCTTCAAACCGTGTGGAGTTCAAGCTTGTTTATTTATAACTATGGATATGACTGTTTAACTCTTTATTGATATTGTCTCATTATCACTTTAGTCGAGGACAAGGCTTGAAAAATCAAGCCAAAGGGATTCTTTGAATTTGGTGCTGGGAAGAACGTGCACCATGGTGGAAGCATAAAATACGTAGTCATGCCATAAGTTCTGTCCCTCGTTTTCAAACAAGTGTAGACCTGTTAATACTTGTCCGATTGTTTACATTGTGGTGTCAGTTGATTAAGCGCTTTTCGGGTAATTACATATACCTCAGTTTGTATTGATCTCTCGAAGCATAACGATGGAGTGGGGCAAGGCAGAGAACCGTATTGCAGTGATAGCTTTACATAAGTGTAATCACAGTGCTAGTCAGATTTTTGAACTCTTACGCGGCCTTCAAATATCGCGTAAATTTGTGTCTAGGACCATTCAGCGGTACAATGAGACGTCCTCTGTTGATGACAGGCCAAGAAGCGGAAGACCTCGTCAAGTAAGGACTCCAGCAGCCATCAAAGCCGTAAAAGCCAGGATTCAAAGGAATCCACTCCGGAAGCAGAAGATCCTATCCAGGGAAATGAAGATTCCTGTCCGGACGATGTCGCGCATCATTAAACAAGACCTAGGGCTAGGGGCTTACCGGAGACGTACGGGCCAGCGACTTACGGCCACCTTGCGACACATCAGGGCGACAAGATCCAAGAAGCTCTTGGAGAGGTACGCAGCTGGGGGATTCCGAAAGATTTTGTTCACGGATGAGAAAATCTTCACCATAGAAGAAAAATTCAACCGACAAAATGACAAAGTGTATGCAAGGAGTTCACAGGAAGCTTCGGAGATCATTCCGAGAGTTGAGAGAGGCCACCACCCTGCGTCAGTCATGGTTTGGTGGGGGGTGTCCTACGAAGGGGTCACTCAGCTCCATTTCTGTAAACAGGGCGTGAAAACAAAAGCGGCAAACTATCAGAGCGACATACTGGATCCTATCGTCAAGCCTTTAAGTGATACATTGTTTGCCAACCAACACTGGGTCTACCAGCAGGATTCCGCCCCCGCTCACAAGGCTAAGAGTACGCAGCGCTGGCTGGAAAGCAATGTGCCAGAGTTCATTGCTGCGAAAGATTGGCCCTCAGGGAGTCCGGACCTCAATCCTTTAGACTACAAGTTGTGGGACCTGCTAGAGCAGTTGGCCTGCTCCAAAGCCCACCGTAATATCGAGTCCCTGAAAGCGGATTTGATCCGATCAGCGGCAGCTATTCCTTTGGAAGCTGTGCGTGCAGTGATAGATGAGTGGCCCGCGAGATTGAAGCAGTGTGTGAAGGCCAAGGGGGGACATTTTGAATAAAACTGTTTGATTACGAATTCTAAAAATGTTGTCGAATAAATAATATCTTTCATATAAATATATCTTATCTTGTTTCATTTTTATCATGAGATTATCATGGGACAGAACTTATGGCACGACTACGTATATTAATGTGAAGACTGAATCAGCTGGGAAACATTATTTTCAAAGTACAAGCTCAGATAAAAGTAATATTGTATTATTTGATATTTGACCCAGATATTCGAAAACTTGTGCGTTATTAACCAATGTATTGCATTCATTTTTAGTCATAAGTTTCGTACGCCGTGCCAACCAAAATAATTCCGAAAATTGAGTTCCTAATCTGAAATCAGACCAAAATTCTAACGGATCTTCTTGTAGCATGAGTTGAATAACATAATAATGTTGGAAATCGAAACAGGTGCAATGGCGCTTCTAAGCTGCAATAGAGTAGCGAGCGACTGGGGCAAGTTAACCGGATACAAAGACACAAAGGTCACAAAGAACGTCTGTAAAGTGACTATAAGGCGCATGAAAGATTCAATAGAAAGGTCATAGCTTCGGTCTCCTAAAAGGATATTCGTCTCAACCGACATGTGAAGCTCATAGGCATATCACTAGGTACAGGCGACCTGTGAGTTTCACAGAAAATAATAATATACAGGGTGTTTCACAACTTGTCCGAAAAATTTTAGCCACATATGCCCTGTTACCAAAGAAGTTGATTTCCTTCAGAAATTAATTTATAAACCTGAGTTTCAATAATAGGTTGAAAAATAAATATCTGTATTTTGCGTTCATCGTGGTGATTTTAGACGACGCATTAATAATTTATTGTAGCAAATGTTGTACCAAACAACTGACGAAAACAATATACCAGGAATTTTTTGTTTTTTCATACTGATAAGAACGTGTAAATGAGGTAAATCTGTATCGTGGGTGATCTGAATGAAGAACGGTCGATTTTTGGGGCACCTCCTCATTTTCGTTTAGAAGTTCATGATTTATTGAATCAGGTATATCAGATAAGCTGGATTGGAAGGGGTGGACCAATTGCATGGCCTCCACGGTCTCCCGATCTAAATCCTCTGGACTTTCTTTCATGGGGATACTTGAAAAATGAGATATACCATACTCCAGTTCTGAATATTGAAGAATTGCGTGACAGAATCACAGTCGCTGCCGATAATTTGAGCCTTCAGGCACAGCAGGAAGGAGGTGTATTTGAATTAGTGCGCCGAAATTGGATTGGACGCGCCCAAGCTTGCATTGCAGTCAATGGAAACAATTCTGAATAGCTTTTATAAGTAAGTGAACTATTAAGCTTGTAACAGTTGCCTTTTATTGCCGATGAATCATTTTTTTTTTGTTGTTGTTGTTGTCGCACAGGTTTAATTTGAAGTAATGCAGCAAGAACTTGAGAAGGAAGAAACAAAAGCCGATAATCTAATCTAATAATCTCCGTAGCATATTATTTTTATTCATAGCATATTATTAAATCAATTTTATTGACAAAAATGACTAGACCGGCCCATTGGCCATTCCCTAAGGCTTGTTTTTAACGGTGTATTTAGCTATATTTTTCTCACGTAATTCATAACCAAAATAAATAACACGCAGACATTTACCTATTATCATGTTTTTGAAATGTATTTGAAATAACGAACATAACACATGAATACTACGGAATAACTATAATTTTTAATTTGTATCCGTTGTTTTTCTTCTGTAGTCGTTTGGCTGCCTGTATATCTTGTAGTCAGCATCTTCCATGTCACTGAATAATTTGGGAACTGAAACCAAATATTTCTCAATCAATTAAACATAATCCATCCTGATCTATTTTATAATCCAAAAATTTCAATTATTAAATTTAACGTACAGCAATCGCACTCCATTTTGATCATCTTTACAGTTTCTACCACTAAGTTTATAAATGTGTAGTCAATTTTCCATGTATTCAGGTAATTAATTGAAGAATTTACTCACCCTGATATGGACAATTTCTTCTTGTGTTGCCTAGTATTTTCCCTGGTTCACCATGAGTAATAATTTTAGTATTCATCTCCACATATTTTCATAAATAACTCGGTTGCTTTCATCCCATGCTAGATCTTCCACCGTCAAGAAATCAATTCAATCTCGAAATTTTCGCCTCGGGGATTTGTTTACATCCCAACAACAATCCGGTTTGTCACTCCGGAGCTAAAAATAAATAAATAAATGTACATCTATAAATTGATATCACCTTCTGAATTAAAAACTATTTGTGTTGCATAAATATTATTACTCACCTATTGAACTATGTATTTCTTTTATAGTCAGATGAATTTATTATTGTTTTCTGAAATCTTCCAATGTCAAAGGCTGATGTCGCTGATGTCGAGATACTATTCTGCGTACCGAACTACTTGCACACCTCGCTTGTTCCGTATAGTTGTCAATTTTATTTCAGAATTTCCTTATGTTTATTAATCAATCAAATTTATATGCAGATATGACAGTGTTGCCACATTTATTCACGATATTTCCTTGAATTTATATTAGGAACCTTCTCATTTTGGGATTAGCCGACAACGTTTTCCTCTTAATGGTCAGGCGTACAACTATATTTGGAAATGTCAAGTTGAAAAAAATTAAATTTTGGGATGGGACTTCCTTCCACTATCGGAGGGCCATCTTGTTCTGTTCCGCTAGTGCCAGAAGACCTGAAATTTTCCTCTTTTTTTGCCTGGGGCATCTTCGTTGGATTGTGGAAGAAAATTTCATAGATAATTTCCTGGGTCATTCCTGTTGTGAGTGCGTAGCATCTTTTTTTTTTCGTCTACGGAACCACGTGAAAAACCCTACCCGACATCATCTAGGTGAGCATTATTTTATTTTAAGTAAATGAAAATTTAGGCAAAAGACCATATTTCTCATATATATCAGTTTTCTCAAAAGTAAATAATTATTCTTGTTCTAAAATGGAGTTAACTTAGTATTCTGTGGAGCATGCGCTGGTTTTATGATATTTTCCGAGTAACTCAAAGTGTAATTTTAAATCTGTTATACCGGGTGGTCAAAAATCATAATTGAATTATCTAAAATATTTAATTTCTATTCGCTGCTTTTTTTTTCCTTCTCGTATAATTAATATTCAATATTTGAAGATTACTTTTCCAATTACGTTAATTGTTGTTAACTAAATTTGTATTTTTTTTATACTGTTATATTCGATCGGCTGAATACTATTATTCTTCCCAGGGTTTTTATTTTGGGGGAATCTTCGCTACTGGAGATCCATTGACACGTTTTCTACCGGGGACCTCTTTCCGAACAGAGACCCTTTTTCCATTATAGGGATTCTTACGTCATCGGTTTTGAAGCCTTCCTCGCCCATTTTAAATTAGTTAGTCAATAAGCTTTCGCATTAAGGGAGATCTCATAGTTTGGCTGGCTTAAATTTTTGTTGTTAGCCGTTAATAGATGTAATAAAATGTATTGATGTTAATTTTAGCAATTATTTACCCACACAGAAAATCTATTGTTTGTATGTATTTTTGTTTTTGTTTCTTGGGGTTTTGGGCTAAAGAGTGCCTTTCAACACCAAGGCGTCTTCCAGTTTTCGCGGATAAAAGCTGGTGGCGCCCCTAAAAAATACCCCCCCTAATCTCCGTTGTACCTGAGCATAGGGCCTAATTTGAAAACGCTAAACCACGGCTTTAGCCTCAGTAACCCCCTAGTTTTTTTTTTTAATCATCGATTGCCTCAATTGAGAGAAATAACTTTAGCTTAAAATTAAATAGTGATCCCAATTAAAAAAAAGAAGAGCGTGGCAAACTGTATTATTTTATTACCTCGATTTCTGTAGGACTTTTATTACATTTTTTTTGAGAAATCAACTTCTTCCGTAACAGTGCATATGTGACTAAAAGTTGTCGGATAAGTTGTGAAACACCCTGTATAAGGAGTTTCTAATGCTTTAACGAAATGGAACCAATGACTTCAGTTGCATTACATTTGTTATATCAGCCTTTTTCAAGGCACACTATCCACTATCAAAAAATGTAAAATATGATTGACGACTTTTAATTTTACTCCACGAAAAGGACTGGTAAGACGACCGAAACGTCGAGAAAAACAACCATTTCAAGGATAAGTTACACAAGCTGCTTTAGCTTGTGGTTCATCCATTATTTACCTATTTTACCATAGTACACACTAAACTTAGGTCCATTTTTCACAAAAGCAATACCTTTTGGCTGCTTTGCCAGGTGGAATATTAATTGAAATTAATTATATATTTGGTCCTTTGGTGTGAAATAGAAAAAACTTGTATCAGGCGATGATTAAAGTGAGCTAAAATCCACGCGTAATTAGAAAATGTAATGCGGGGTTGGAACTTTTTTGAGCAATGAACCTACGGCACAGAGTTGGGCTAAGACTACTGACATGTTGATCCGAATCTAATGTTATTAGTACTGAGGTCGAAACGATCGAAAAGCTCCGTTTTCAGGACTTGTCCATTTATATAAGAAAAGACTACCCATAAAGAGAGTGTACATCTCAGTTTTTTTTTAATTACCTTCCAAAATAACTACCAATTTATATACTTCGAAAAGTTACTTGTGAAGGGCCAGCATACCTAAAATTTAGTCACTCCTTAAATCTACATTATGTGAGTACTTCAACGAAATAAGCTGAATGAGTTTTGTTCATATGACTCTGAAGGTGAGTTTCGAGAGCATTTAGCCAATGTCCTACGGTCAGTATTTACTGAGATCTATCAGTATTTAACATAGAAGCTGATATTTGCTGGGCATGTAGCCAGGACGTCAGTAATTGTTGATGTATAACGTTATATTATAGAAATCTACTGACACTGACGGAGTTATCAATAAATACCGATGACAGTCGCCTACTACTCGTGTCAAAGGAGATACGGCACTGAGTTTTAGAAGCGTCAAATTACATTATACACTTCCGTCTGCAGACAGTCACGACTTACAAGCATTACGTCAGAAAGGACAGCGAAATTGTGGAACAAAAACAGCACTGGAGCAAACACGTTGTTCTGTGGATCAACATTGTGAGACAAAGAGAAAAATCCATCACCAACGACATACGTCTTAATACCGAAGAGGAAATCTGCTACTGATCTGTAAGGCTTCTCTGGGAAGACAGAAGTTCGTATAGCATGCCACTGCTGTTCAAAATCATATCAATGGCAATGACACGAACCTCACCAAATGCCTGTATACTTGTTAGGATCGGAGATCGATCATTTTTTGGGGCAGGTTGAAAATGGACAATTCAGGTCTCTGTGAAAGCGGCAAAGCTATAAACGAGATTTGAAAACATTGAAGAAACTTGCAGTACACATATCTGTACCATTGCACGGACCACGTGGGGAGCAAAAGAAGCATTTTCGCTGAGTGACTTCAATACCCGCCAGACAGTCTTATGTTTGAAGGTTACTTCGTTCGGACTGTAAGGTACAGTTGTAGTAACCGTTCTTGGCGGTTACGTCATCAACCCCATATGAAATAAGTAAACAAATCGAGTTTCCGTATTATGGGTGCAGCCTATTCTTCAGCGCATCTGCTACTCTCTCCAGTACGCATGAAGTGAGTAACAGGGGCCGCTGTTTCTTCCTGGAAATACTCTAATAAATGTAGAAAGAGCTGTCGATATTCACCACTGATCGTATTGTATAGTTTTATATTGAAGATTGATAACAGCACAACTAAAGAGATTTTTTCGGGGAGATCCCGTAGTGAACGGAGCGGGAACAGATGGAAATTCCCCTCCCTCTCGAAGTTTTGGCAGTTGCTTTAAGGTCCTTAGTAACCTTAGCTGCCTTATTTGAAAATATATATATATATATATATACAGGGTGTCCGCAAAGTTGGGGTTCTCCTTTTCAGAAACAACTGCCCTTGAAATAACAAAGGTAATGTGTAGTGAAACGAGGGCGACCAAGTAAAAAAAATAAAGAAAAAAGTACTCACTCTCCAGTTGACGAGAAGGGCTAAGTACAGACCAGTAGCCCACGAACAGAGGTAACAAATATGACCATCGTGCAGAAACCACATTGATTGTCTTACACTTAATGGCACATCTTCTAATAAGGAAGGCAAAATGTTGCGTAAAAAGTCTAGGTATTGCATCCCGTCCAATCGATTTGGGAGAATAAATGGTCCAATGAGCATACCGTTCACCATGCCAGCCCAAAGATTCACCGAAAATGTTTGTTGAAAATGTGCCCGACGGACAGCGTGCGGATTTTCTACTGACCAAACATGAGTGTTGCGAAAGTTATTCACCCCATTACGCGTGATCGTAGATTCGTCTGTCACCAATATGCACTTCAAAAAGTCCGGATTATTGTCATGTTGATGCAACAACCACTCACAAAACCGCACTCTTGCTGGAAAATCGTCAGGTTGAAAAGCTTGTACATATTGGACGTGAAACGGATACAGCCCCTCTTCACGCAGCGTTTGCCACACTTTAGTTTTTGATACTTGCACTTCTCTAGCCACGTCTAGTTTTGCCAGTGGATATTAGCAAATGAAAGTACTATTCCTAGAATATTATGGTCGGATGAGTCAATATTTACTAGGAATGGTGCTTTTAAGTTTCATAACATGCAT